CCAGGTTACCTCCCTTTGTTGTGCTTTCCGACGTTAGGAGAAAATAATTTCGTTCTAATTCGTCCCTCAAACGAAAGAAATTATATTTACATTTACGTTGATCATACTGTAATCACGGAGATGATACATACATTTACGTAGATGATACTATAATCTATATATCTACACTAGTTCCTGGCTTGATTAATAATGACTGATTGCTTGACTTTCTATTTTGACATGTCTTTATCGAGGTATTATGTAAACATTGCATGACTTAATCTTCATATCAATGTGTCGAAGTTACTGGAGAATGACACACGCCACACTGCAACCGTAATAAAGAGAGGAGCGCGCAACATATATTCCAAACTACAAACAAACAACTATAGGCCATTATTCAAAATTATAGCGAAATTATATATCAACCATTACGTGGTTAAAGCCGGGGAACTCACTTGAATACGTTGATCATCATGATTTCTCCATTTCGGAAAATAAGTCAAAAAGGCAAAACGTGAGTATGAAGGGTTGAGAATCACTCAAACTTTAAAACTATATCAAACCAATACTCGTCATCACCCCATGAAGCACTGAAGGTACAATTCTGCAGTGTGTGTTTATATTTTAGCTCTGATAGTTTGACAAGTTGAATGGTCTCAGTATGTTCTAAAAATACGGCCGAATGAAAATCCAACAAGGGTCGCAACTGCACAAGACAATATCAGTCTGATTAACGATACGTACGGTCATATCACATACGGAGATGACAGTATCTTATAATACTAAATCTACGTAGATCTATTACATAATGGGGAATACGTTGGTGTTGGAATTTGGAATAATTATCTTAGGAGGGAGGTATGTTTGAAACGAATGTTGAATTTGAATAAGATTGAGTGAATCGCTAGAACGCAGCTGGATAGGCGTGAACGTATCGGGCGAGTGCAAGTTTACACGTGAATGTTGACCTGAATGTGCATGTGTTGCTTACATAAGAGGCGATGTGTAACAGCTCGCGGCAGTCTCCTATTAACATCTTGCGGAGGGAAAGTCGCGATTTTGACCAGCAAGACACCAGTAGCTTGCAATATATATACTCAAAGTTTGCTGAGGATCGCCACTTACGTTACATAATACGTTACATTGTGTGCATCTGTTCAAATAGCCAAAGACAATACAATATTGCGTGAAGACATGTTTAATGCCAAAAAAACAAGAAGTGACCAATAATCAGTCAGATCTCCCGCCAAAATGAGAGAATTTGATCAAAACTGTTACGTCAAAGAATCACGATAACAAATTCATTGTCAAAAAGTACAACTCTCAGCAGCGCATGTGACCCACAGCCTGGCACCGTCGTCTCATGCTCCCAATAAGTGTCTGGGCGGTTGCCAAGGGAAGATTGTTCCACTCTTCAGTAAGAGCACTGCCGAGTTGCCGGAAGGACAGGGCGTCGTCGTGAGAGGCGATCTACAGTTTGTTCCACGTGTGTTCGAAAGGGTTGTGGTCTGGTGATCGGACCGGCCGGTTGCAAGCGGTCAATGGTCTCCTGCTCTAAGTAGGCATCAACAACCCTGGCATGGGATCGCGTGTTATCGTCCTTGAGGATGAAGTCTGGCCCAATTGCACCAGCACACGTCTCACGTACACATCCGGAATGTCATTCCTGTAGCGCAAACTTGTCATCGTGGACATCGTGGACATGGAGATAGATTCTTCCAGCTCTACTGGACTAGAGTATTTATATCGAGGTTAGGTATTTAAGATTAGATTTATGGGTGAATGTGTGGGTGTGTCAGCGTGTGAAAATGAATAGACTATTGTAAATTATATATACAAGGAACAAGGGATTTCTTAAAAAATGATATGTAAAGAAATGACGTTGTGGAATGCATTCTGCATTGTAGCTACTTCAAGTTCACAAGAAAAAATGTATAGAAGATTATTTGAGAAAAAATGAATATTTTACTGGCGCTTCCGTTATTATCTCCAATGTCTTACTCAGTATGGTTTTGTTTGTTGTTTATTCTGTATGAAGTAACGCAATTTAATACATACATACATACATACATACATACATACATACATACATACATACATGAGGTACGAGTAAACATTAATTTCACGAGTGACACATTTCCGTTATCACTCGTACCGAGTGGGTTATTCTATTTATTACCATAATCATATTGAAGACATATTTCAAGAAAAAAACTGTCGCCGGTACAAAATCAGCTGTTTTGTATCAATCCGCATGTGAAAAAACACTGTCCACTCACTCCAACAGCATTACTCAGAAACCATGTTGTTACGCGTTAAAAATATAGTTCTGTTAAAAAACTTTTAAGATCACATTATTGCAGTTGTATTTCTGTCTGATTTACACAGCGTAGACTCTCTAGCATTGATAAGAGGAGACAAGTTTCAAACAAGGTTTTACAGAGTTTTTAATAAAGGGATTTTAGAAGGACTTGTCAACCACGCTTGTGGAGTGGACCGACATAGCTTAGAAGATGAAAGGAGTTAGTTGATATTTTGATGGTCGGATAGCTGTTTAAAGACTAACACAGCACCTGGAGACTTGGTGCCAAACCGTCCGCATTTACCGAATTTATTTAGTTCAATATCGGATACAGGATCAGCTCGCTGGGGTAAGTTCCCCTTTCCTTTTTTAAAAAATGATTTTTGTTTTGATTTGAAAACCTCCCAGGGTTTAGCAAAGTGCATCGATTTCGCAAGCAGATGTTCGAAGGCCTTATCATGTCGCAAAGGTATCGCTCTATGCTTCCCTTGATTCCCTTCAAAGTAGACGGTTCTAATAGCCGTCTCTTAATATTTATGCGTGACCCCGGGGTCAAAATCCAAAACGAGGCTATCCCCGCAAACTGTCAAAATGGCATCGGAGCATCGCTGTGTCCTCGAATGCGTTTCCGCTGCGGGTACAATAAATCGGAAAGTTTTAATCGTTGTTCTGGCCGATTTTTCTCTGCGGAAACGATGCCAGGTAACTGTACGGCGAGATAAAGTAAAGTTGTTCACCGTTAGTTTTAATTTTCATTCATGTTTTTGCAAAACTGATGAGCGAATATCGCCTGTCAACTATTGATTTTATCTGAGCTCTCGTACATGACATTTCAGTACGAAATAATCGTGTTTTTTCTAAATACAGTATTCATTTCTTTTCTTGTAACGACTTTCAAAATGCCAAACAAACAATTATACATTTGTAATGGTCATAATTTACGTATTTCTCGAATAATAAATATAAATAAATGGACTCCACGTATGTAAAAGTAATATGAAGGCATCTACAAACATGAATATATCATTTATAAAACTCTTACAGTTGTTATAATTTATGCTTAATTATTGGTTTCATTTTCACGTCTTCGAAAAATGTTTTGGAGACTTCAATGAATTGTATGTTTTATATCTCATTTGTGTGTTGTAAACGCGTACACCCAAGTGAATAGAAAACTGAAACCACTGGCAGTTCCATCCATATTTGCAGACCCGTGAAGATCCGGGATAGAATAGGTCTTCAGCAACCCATGCTTCCCTAAAAGGCGACTATGCTTGTCGTAAGAGGCGACTAACAGGATCAGGTGGTCAGGCTCGCTGACTTGGTTGATGGATGTCATCGATCCCAATTGCGTGGATCGATGCTCATGATATCAATCACTGGTTTGTCTGGTCAAGACTCGACTATTTACAGACCGCCGTCATAAAGCCGGAAAATTGCTGAGTGCGGCGTTAAACAACAAACAATTATCCATATTTGCATGGACTGTGGCCACAACACCAAGGAAGGCCGCCATGAACAGAAACGTCATTGTGTGAGAATTTACAACTAACTATCCACTATTTGTTTTACTCTATCTATAAAACATTTATGTGAATTCAGAGGTTGGTGAACGGTGTGTGTGACTCCTTGTATTTTGTTTGCAGGTATGAGGAGAACCTGGTTCCAGCAGGGGGTGAGATGGTCATTCCACACAGAATGAGCTGCGTCAGGCACAGTTTGAAATAAAGGAGATGCAGGTCCATGTTGAACAACTTGAGAGGGAGAACCAACTACTCAATAACCATCTGGTTCTTGAGAACGTTGGAGTTTCAAGGTCTAGTACTAACCCATGTTTCATGTACTATAATACTTCTTTAACTGATTGTGATACTTTCAAGTTATTTTTATTTGTTCAACCCAGTGCCACCATAATGTGAAGCAAGTATTATGTTTCCTTGGCTCAAACCCCATCTGCCTTTGTCCTAAGCTCAATGTTATATTCAAATTACAAGCTGAAGACAAAAAGCCTGATTGGCATAGCCCGACATGATGCTGTGGCACTTGTATCATGTTTGTCTACAGGTGGTTTGTCTGATGTTGAGATTTCAAAGCTGTTGGGTATCCTTGATCTTGCTCAACCTGGTGATATAGTGACGGCAGACAAACGCTTTACTATTGCTTCTACTTTGCACAAAAGAAATAGTTTTCAGCTGAATAAATAGGAGAAAGGTGAGGTGAAATGGGGTTTAACGTCGCGTCCAAGATATTGCACTTATATAGCGACGTGCATGTACGTGTGTGTGTTTGTGTGGCTGATTGTACTAGTCCGGACTGATGCCGATTTATAGTGCTAGCTCACTGAGATACCATGCCGCAGTTTAACATGAATAACCCACTCAGACACAGTATACTGACTCCGAGCCGACCAGTCCTTGTTTTAGCCCCTTAATGCCGAGCGCCAGAGAGGGTAACAACAAGTAACATCTTTTAACGTCTTTTGGTATGACGCGGCCGGGGATCGAAACCCGGACCTTCCGCTCTACCACTAGACCAAGGAGAAACACAAGCCATAGCATCATTGAGAGTTCATGTTGCAGAATTTGCAAAACCATCAGTCAGCTGTGCTTGTATCTGGTTTCCAAGGCGCACTCATTTAGAATTGTGCTAAAATTCCCTGTCAGCGAGACTAGACCCAGCGTACATCTCGGAGATAAAAGTTTCAAATCGTATCGTTTGAGCCACAAGTATTTTATTACACAAAGTACATACATATATTTTAACTCATGTCTACAACACTGGCTCTGTCCTGTGGCACACAAACAGTTTGTTTGCAGAAACTCTCACTTCAAAATCTCGTCAGAAAACACTGAAAATATATTTAACACTTAAAAACATTGCGCCTAGTTACTTTGATTTATTTTTTTTTAAATATTATTTATATAATTCACATTAACAGAATCATCTACATAGTCAATTACCCAGAATTATTGTTGCAGTTTAATGCAACTTTCATACCAATTGATTCAAATTAATTTGACTAATTTAACATGCACACGGAATATTCATTTCATTGTCCTTACCTCTAAGTTATGTGGGGTTTTATTCTTCCCCATAGAACGAGTCCAGGCAGGAATCCTACGTACGATGCTGGAAATATAATAATTATTCATTACCATGTACACATATTTAACTATGAAACAAAAAGGAATTTCCGTTTCATGAAAGGTTTGCGAATGATTATGGTTTAAACAAAAACATTTTGTGTTTTAAAAAAGCCAAAAACATTTGCATTCATGGCCGTTGCAATATACATGACGGCATATAACTATATAACCTTAATGATGATATTTAAGTATAGACTACGGTAATATCCCCCCAAACATGAAGGGTAAAGGAAATAGAATATAGGGCTTCCACACATGGCTGAATATCCATCATTCATGTTACGCCCATCGAAATCAGTTTGAGTGATGCCGATCAAAACAACAGCTGGTCATTGTTATTGAGTGTAAAATCACAATATACCTACTTTTAATATTGTTGATGAAACCATTGCTGTTATACTGGTATCCTTTGTTCAACTGGAAACTACCCACGCTATTAAAGTGGCTTTGAACAAAATCCCCGACGAAGGCGAACGAGACATGCGAGACGAGCGATAAATCACTTTCGGGTGTTTGCTTTACCGCCTTGGGGGTATAACCTCGTTTTGGAGTTTGACCTCGGGGTCATGTAAAAATATTAAGAACGGTTAGGTACCCGTTTAGTGGCTATTATTAAAATTCATTTGTGGTCTTTTATTCAAAAGACTTGTCGTGAATCCAAGAATTATTACTGTCAACAACTAAACATGTAAATTCAGAAACACAAATATCTCATAAGGAAGAGAATGTATGGATGTCATTCAAAGACTTAAATATCCCATAAGTTCAAAGCTTCAATCAATAAAATTTCCTGTTGACATCACGACTGTTACTGATTAAGAAGAAATGATTTTTTTATTGCACCGGAAACCACATGCCAATAGGACATAACACTAAATAAAATATATTTCATTTTACAAATCACACGTGAAGTGACAAGTATTACATATGCATGAAATAACATACATTTATATGCATTTATATGCAAATATCAGGTAGCTGGACAACTGGAATTAGATATTTAAACATACATCCCAAGTATGCTTCAAAAATACTGGTGTAAACATGACTTTTCCTTAAATAATACAAATACATACACACGTGATTCAGACCAGTTCCTTTTCTAGGATATTGACTGATTGTCATCCATAATGTCATAAAGTTGTTCTAAAATTTGGTAATGTCAAGAAAACACAGAGATGAAAATTTCCTGAAGCCAACAAAATCACTGTAAAGTAAATATGAAGCTCATTCTCAACATAATCATAACCAAATCTGGAACAATATGTAAATAACCAACATCCTTAATAAACACAAGCTCTTGCTCATTTATCAAATATTGACAATCTCCTTACATCATGGTAAAGAATTAAATTTTGGGTTAAATACATTTCACTATTCATCACAGTTATATATGAAATATATTAAGAATTATATAATTTATTCTGTATCTGAATTGATCAGGCACTCTGGATAATGCCTGATCAGGGTGTGACAAAGAGATACTGCCTTTGTTTATACAAATTCTTTGTATCTTGAAATATGTTTTATGCGTAATGATATTGGTAATCACGTTCAACACTATCTTTTTAACAAATATATTATTTAAGAAGAAATAATTAAAAAGCTCTAGTTTAATACCAGGTGGATGTTGTACCATGAATCATTTAGTGTTATCATATTAATCTGACTTTGATAAGGCATCAATTAAATAATTGGTTGGAATAATTATTAATTACTTGATTAGATAAAAAATTATATCATTACTTGACCATGTTACTTGACCATGTTTCTCTGAGTTCATAAAAAAAATATTTCCAGTAAATTAATTAAAATGTCTTGTAATCGTTTTTAACAGGTGTATTATTTCACTACCAGTGAATAACTTACGTTGTTCTTATATTAACTATTATACATTTCAATATTCAATATTTCAGTAATTCACTTCCTTCTCACGAAACTTTCCTCTTCTTTCTAACCTTGAAGGGATGATTCTATTTCACAAGAATAGGATCAGGTAATTCATTACTGCATGGGTTTTGTCTCTTAATAGAAACGCTGAAATATTCAAAGCATGATTTTATGGGAATTAAATTACAAGACTTTGCGGGAACGAAAACCATTGACAATGATGATATTTCTAGGTTTAAAAAATTATTACTGCCAGAGTAATTTTCAATATTATACTCGAGTAATTTGCAATATTAATATATATAGGTTTATTGCGGTTTTTGTGATTTAACGAAAATCATGTCGAAAAATCGGAGCTCCTTTAGAATACAGTACCACAACTTCTCGTGATGACGATCTGCCGTAGGTCACGTGTCTCAAAGACAGTCTTAAAGGGGCACTGATCTAACGCAATTCCCCGGACTGGTTGTTGCCTTTGTTAACTGATAATACGTTGGTTGATTGCTCATTGTTATCTATCACTCAATGGATTTTTCAGGAACCGTGGACGTTATGAAAATAGTTGTCACGTGGGCTTTCTCAGCCAACCCTTGAGACTTGACACCTATGTGAAACACCTGAAACAATCTAAGTGATCAGTTGAGAAACGAACACGGGTAATAATACCCCGAAACGATATATATCTTTTAAAATATTTGATTGTTACAGAGACAAGTGACATCGAATAAGTTTCTTTGTACAGTTGCAGACGAGTGGGATATTGTTCCTTTGTGTGGATATTCACGGATACATTCCTCGAACAAGGAAGCTGCCTAAAATTTATACACATAATTTTGGTAGGTTGTAATTGTGGTATTTGCAATTTGTTTTCCTTCATTTGCTGTGTCATTGAACCGATTTGTTCTTGTTCCTCTACGTCTTGTTTGGGAAATTCTTCAATGCGCGATAGACGTTGTTTTCACAAGTCTTTTCCTTTGTAAGCGTGTATATATTACCGTCAATTTGTAAAATGTGATTCTCTCAGGCAATTTATAAAATGTGTAAATATTTCAGTCATTTTGACTGAAAAATCTGTCCAGATTGACTAAAATTGATAAAGACGAGCAAAAGGGCCTAAAAACAATACAACAGATTATTATGTAGGATTAGAAGCCAAACAACATAGAAATGTACTTTTCAACGTAACATTTTCAGTCTTCAGTTCAACAACCAGTACGGGGAATGGCGTTAGATCAGTGCCCCTTTTAACATCAAAATGTTTGGAATTCGTTATCATAATAATACAGATGGAAATGTTTTTCCGTCACTTTGTAAAATAACTGAATATTTATGCGTTTAATAAATTTGAAAATGATACACATTTTGAGAGTAAAATAATATACACACAGTAAAAAAGCAATGCTCAGGTGAAATATTTACTTTGTGTTGCAAGTCAAAATAGTGTAAACGAAAATCGCAAAATTACCAAGCAAGTGCAAGCATTACCGTGCTACCCACAAAGAAACCTACATTTCCTTATTATCTCGAAAACTGTATTTCATTTTGTTTATCAATGTGACCATACCCACTTATTTCTACCCATAAAAGTGACGAATGCGCTTACAAATGGCGCAGCATAGGTCGCGAACTAGTCTAGATTTCTGCTATACATCCGGGTACTCACGGGGAAAAAACAATAACAAAGGCAACAACCAGTCCCGGGGAATTGCTTTAGATCAGTGCCCCTTTAAACCAAACAAGATCGTCACATGCATTAAATTTGCATTCTATATAAGTTATGCATAGAGCTACTGCAGACATTATATAATCGGGCCATATATCCATATGCAATATCTACCGATGGATCAAGGGTCCCAATGAGCGTTGACGAACCCGACCACTTTCACGGCTTTCAATTTGATTTGAGGTGAAAGGTTAAGCGTGGTGAAATGAGGTCAGTTGAAACTATCTGGACAGATACGAGTATTTCGCGATTTCGCTTTTGAATCAGTACTGAATAAATGTAGCGGGCGAAAGTGGCTTGTGTGAATGTTCCACGACAGTTTCCAATAGCCAAAATATTCGACACTATCTCATTTTATATTTTTTACTCGACGTTTTTGTGTGAAGAATATTAGGAGCCGCTATAGAATCTATAATAGCCACTAAACGGGTACCTAACCCTAATGACCGTAAAGAGGATCCAAGGGCTAAGGATAGAGTTATGCAACACACATGTGCTATCGGGTGCAGACAGATTGTCCTGCCATGTACTTAATCCTACCTCCGATGGTTTATACCTGTTTGACTGCACTGGCACTGCTGTACATATTAACTTTGAATAAACCTGTCGCCTGTAGACTGCAGGAGACGCCACCCAATGAAATATCGTGTTGTTGATAAATGTGTTATGTAAATTTGAGTTAGATAAATGAGAACATAATGTCTACATTTTCAATAAACTGTTCAATCCCTTTAAATACAATATGTTCATCATGAGTATACTTGGCATTGTGTCAATTGTCACGCAAGAATAAATGATCTTTGTATATTTCATAATTGTATTGTAAAAATGTTAGGATATGGTATCAAGATGTTATTTTAACAAGATGAGGATGTTAAAACACGTAACACTTTACAAAGATATATCTTTAGCATGTTCAGCCAACAGTACGCAACCTATCTATCTGAATTCCGTGTCAATTCCAAAAGCTGACCTTTGGAGGGTTGGCCTGTTGGACAATAAATCCATCATTCGTTTTCAACAACATCATCAACAAAGGCAGGTCCAGAATTACGTGTCGCCGCGATGGGGTCCGACAGTCTCGGCTGGGATGCGTGTAGACATGCTATGGTTCTCGTGGTCAAAGGCTCAGTGTACCCAGCAAGGTAATTCGATTTCCAACATATACTTAGATACTACATTCAATGTTACATCTGAATAATAATGTGCATCAACTTACGCATTTAGGACCTCGGTAATCTGCTCCCGACGACTGCTCCTTGTTCTTTGCGCCCATGCCACACCTCTTGTGCAGACGCCATAGTGTTTACATTGAAAACGGAAGTCAGATCTCGCGCCAAGGCCGCTTACATCGCATAAAAAACCCCAACTGAGATCAAACTTAAGTCCTGAGTTGTTCCTGAGTTTGATTCGAGAAATGCAGTTGAGTTAAAAACTCAGTTTGAGATTTGAGTAAACACTTTGTTTGTTTCGAGAAATCGGGGCCAGGTCGTGCAGTCGTGTATGTTCATTCATGAACAAACACCTTCGGAAGCAATGCCACAATATACGCTTCAAATGCCGACACTGATGGCACAACCGGAGCATCGAACGTAAGTCTAGATATCTACAAGTAGAGATTGCTGCAGAGCATCAATAGCTCCCCGCAATATAATGTAATGTGCCGAGGAAGGAGGTGTAAGCTATGGGAGGAGAAAATTGGTGTTAAGTACAAATTGGTTGTTATTAATGTAGTTATCTTTGGAAAGCACAAAAAAAACAAACAGTGTCTTTAATTGGTCAGCACAAAGAAAACCAAGGCAAGAAAACTGGGCATGTCAGGCAAAACTTGATATATACCCACTATTTGTACCAATAAAAAAAATCCTATATAGATAACACAACAAATGTCATTCTAAAGCATGCTTTTGCAGCAAATATCAATATTTCTGGTCAAAATGTTGGGTTAAATAAAGCAAACTTTTAAAATAGTAAACACAAAAAATGTAATGAATCCACTCTAAATATACTTCAGTTCAAATGTAAAAATTCACGCAATCATTAATGGATTCCCATTTATCTAGCAGCAAGTTAGGAACATACAGTTTGGTCACGTTATCTATAAATATTGAGAATTATCTTACATATTGTAAAAACAAAGGCCATAGGTCACTTTTCTCAAAACTTCGTTTAAGTAATCACAAACTAAAAATTGAAAAAATTGTAGATATACAAAAACACCAACCCCATTTGAACAACGTCTCTGTAAAACATGTTTTGTCTCAGAAGATGAACAACATTACGCACTGTCTTACATAATACAACCAAGAAAGAGAATCACAAATAATCCCCAATCATTATAAAGAATTTGGTACACTCTGTTAAAAGGAGCAGATTCTTAATAAGTTTACCAACAGTTATCCAGAAACAACTTCCAAGATCTGTTAACATATCAACAATTACAAACAAATTCCTTGTACAGTATGTACTACATTACCATAGTTTTGCTCAATTCTCATATTTTTTCCATATCATTATAAAACACTTGTTTTAGAAATTAAATTCTACCTCTTTTGAATGTTGAATGTTCCTGTGTTTTTTAATTGTCGTTTATTGTGCATGTTGTTTTACATGTGTTGTTTATTGTAGAAAGTCATACTTTATAGAAGCCTGTTATTTAATCGTGTTGAACAATATGTTGCAATAGCAGTGTGAAAATTGAGTGCGCGTGACAGGCTTGGCCTAAATTCCTTCCTGGAACGTTTCTCGATGGCTGCCTGAATAACATACGAAACATTGCAAAGGTAGTGCGCAATTGAACTGTTCGGGGAAGGGAGATAATCACTCACTCTCAGTGATACAGCTTGAATAAGATACGATGTACAGCAATGCAAGGTCAGTGCGTGAATTTATCACTTCTATACTACGCCTATAGCTAATGGAGATAATCGCTCAATGCGCAATAGTTTATTCTTACAAAATATAGACCGGTTAACTTTAGCGAAATGGGATCATTTTTAGCTCTTTTAAAAACAAAATGAACAAATTTCATTGGTTATCAGCATTACGAAAAGTGACTAAGTCTCAGAATAGCAAGACGATTTTGAAGTATCTCTTATTGCTGGAAAAGATAAACATCAACATTTCACGCACATTTCACATGATTTGTATGTTTCGTTTCGGTAACTGTGTGGCTTGAAATTTCTAAGAAACTGACATGTCGACTTACATGCTCCAAAATTAACCTCTCCCGTATACTTCCCCGCCTTAAGGGCGGGGAAGAATTAAGATAGTTTCAATTGACCTCATTTCACCACGCTTAACCTTTCACGTTAAATCAAATTGAAAGTCGCGAAAGCGGTCGGGTTCGTCACGCTCATTGGGACCCTTGATCCATCGGTAGACATTGTATATGGATATGGCTCGATTATATATTGTCTGCAGTAGCTCTATGCATAACTGATATAGAATGCAAAGCGAATTTAATACATTTAACGATCTTGTTTGGTTTAATAAAGTGTGTGTAAAGGTTTCTCGCTTTCATGATATTCCGTCAGTTCTGCCTTGTAGTTGCACGGTTATATAGGTCCGTGGTAGTGAATGACATCTCGCGATTTTTTATGAATGAAAAAAGTAGCCCCGTTGTGACAGAAGTCACGATTGTCCAATCAAAACGAATAAACGAGGTCAACCTTGAACGACACACATGTGACGTACGGATCTAGTATCTTACCACCTGTATCTACACCACGTGGGTAATAAATATAGAATACTAAACGAGCTCCCGTGTAATACCAATTTTATGAAACGAGTGAAACGAGTGAATGGTATCTGACGAGCGAAAGCGAGTCAGATACCACAACTATTCACGAGTTTCATAAAATTGGTTTTACACGAGAGCGAGTTTAGTATTTTATTTATTACTTGTCATTTATAATGTTTTTAGAATTATGCTGTTGAGTGTAAATAGGCTGACACCTACACGATCCATGGCATAATCCAATTGAGTTTAAAAGGAATAATACTTCAAACACGTCAAAAGTTGAAACGTATCAATTTAATATCATACAATGGTCCACTTTTAGAATTCAGGCGTTCGTCCCACAAAATGATCGTTGTGCTAAGGCTATCACTAAACTCACATAATTTAACTTAGACTAACGACTGTCGTTGCGCTAGAGTACGATCGCCTTGTGGAACGGGGCCTTGCACCTCAAAGTTTACAATCACGTCACAATACCCGATGACGTAATTTGTTGAATTTTGTTGCAAGATCCATCGGCGAAACAATGCCATGTGACGTCAGCCTAGCAACAAGGTTGCTGGGGTCATCGAGTGTGCATAAGCTCCTCCCAGTGATCTATGATCTCCACACACAATGTCGTTGAATACGACAAGGGATGTTGAGAGCTTTCAATATTTGTTCGTGAAACGTGTTCCGAGAGTACACAAGTAGAGATTGCTGCAGAGCATCAATAGCTCCCCGCAATATAATGTTATGTGCAGAGGAAGGAAGTGTAAGCTATGGGAGGAGAGAATTTGTGTTCAGTACAAATTGGTTGTTATAAATGTACTTATCTTTGGAAAGCACAATAAAAGAAACAGTGTCTTCAATTGGTCAGCACAAAGAAAACCCAGGCAAGAAAACTGGGCCTGTCAGGCAAAATTTGATATATACCCATTATTAGTACCAATACAAAAATCCTATATAGATAACACAACAAATGTCATTCTAAAGCTTGCTTTTGCAGCAAATATCAATATTTCTGGTCAAAATGTTGGTTGGGTTAAATAAAGCAAACTTTTAAAATAGTAAACACAAAAAAACGTAATGAATCCACTCTAAATATACTTCAGTTCAAATGTAAAAATTCACGCAATCATTATCTAGCAGCAAGTTAGGAACATACAGTTTGGTCACGTTATCTATAAATATTGAGAATTATCTTACATATTGTAAAAACAAAGACCATAGTTCACTTTTCTCAAAACTTCGTTTAAGTAATCAGAACCTAAAAATTGTAGATATACAACAACAACAACAAACATTTGAACAACGTCTCTGTGAAACATGTAATGTCTCAGAAGATGAACATTACGCACAAACAAATTCCTTGTACATGTATGTACAACATTACCATAGTTTTGCTCAATTCTCATATTGTTTCCATATCATTATAATACACTTGTTTTAGAAATTAAATTGTTATAATGTACCTCTTTTTAATGTTGAATGTTCCTGTGTTTTTTAATTGTCGTTTATTGTGCATGTATTTTGTAGTTTGTGATTGTGTAATATTGCCACTGTTTCTTCATGGAATGTTCCGCAATACATATCTCATCTAAAACATCTTTGTTGTATAATAGTTTCTTACAGTTGTTTACGGGGGCATGGTTGGCCCAGTCGCCGAAGGCGCTGGAATTCGCTATGCAGAGTTGTGTTCCTTGGGCACGCCAGAAACCTATGACAGTGTGTTTGAATCTCGGTTCGCCCCGATTTTGTTGTCAGCACAAAACCCTTACTCGTTGGTTTCACCAAAGTGGTGAACGTCTAAGACCTGCATCACTTCAGACTTTCCTCCCACATCAATCTGGCACGGAATACTGTTCAAGACGGTGTTAAACCAAACTACCTCACTCACTCTTGTGTATGGTTCCGTTTGGCTAACTGGGTTTATGTTGTGATTGCTTCCGGCTTAGATTTGAAATTTGTTTAGAAGAATTGTACTATGTTCAACCCAAACATCGTGAAGATATCATGCAACCGTATTATCTTTTGGGAAAATAATAGCAAACTACAGACCAACCTGTTGATTTCCTATGTATCCAGAAGCAAAGAACATATACGGGTGTATGATCTATGCTGGAAGTTAATATTTTTTTTTGTCAAAGCAATAAACCATGCAGAAACGTAAACCGCCGCATGAAACGGTATGTACCATACATTACACACAGTGAAGTATTTAAAACAATGCCGTCAACTATGCACAGCAAGCGCCATACTTGTGATTATGAAGACAACTAATAAAAAAATTCTCATATCAAACCCGTTGTTTTACATGTGTTGTTTAATGAAGAAAGTCATACTTTATAGAAACCTTTTATTTAATCGTGTTGAAAAATATGTTGCAATAGCAGTGTGAAAATTGAGTGCGCGTGACAGGCTTGGCCAAAATTCCTTCCTGGAACGTTTCTCGATGGCTGCCTGAATAACATACGATACATTGCAAAGGTAGTGCGCAATTGAGCTGTTTGGGTAAGGGAGATAATCACTCACTCTCAGTGATACAGCTTGAATAAGATACGATGTACAGCAATGCAAGGTCAGTGCGTGAATTTATCATTTCTATACTACGCCTATAGCTAAAGGAGATAATCGCTCAATGCGCAATAGTTTATTCTTTCAAAATATAGACCGGTTAACTTTAGCGAAATGGGATCATTTTTAGCTCTTTTAAAAACAAAATGAACAAATTTCATGGGTTATCAGCATTACGAAAAGTGACTAAG